TTCGGCTATGGGGATCGAACTTCTCCCTGTAAGTAGAAGATGCGCACCAACTTATAAAATTGGAATTGTCTCGGTGAGAGCTCCTTGCTTTTCTCTGAAAATGTAATTGTTATGACATTACTTAAAGGGAGTCTGGGGTTTTTTAGTGGAGGGAATGGCGGATTAGAATTTCCTAAGCCAAGTGACATTTGGAACAAAATGCTTTCTAGCGTTGATCGCGACAACGTGTCATGAATCAACGAAAAGAGTAACCGCAGCTTCAGCAATCTCATCATGTCTTTCAATGAAATAATCAAGGACGGCTCGTCTCTCCTCCACATTAAGCACTCCTAATTTCATTTAATGCCCTGATAAGGAATGTGTTTAACATGACTTGATTATATGGCATGGCTGGCATTTATTATGTACAGGACACGATTGTGCAGAATAAAGGACACCTCATTAATGGATACTAGTCAAGTGCATGGATAACATCTGAAGAGGCGTTGAGACAGAACACTCTTCATCGCATGTCAGTTGCAGAGCGATATGATTCCTCAGATGGATATACAAGCATAAACTAGGTCGCAGACCTCGGTAAGATAAGAAACACATCCATACAGCGCTAAATAGGGTCTATCCAGGTGTAATCTTGTGGAAGAGACCATATCAGGCGCCGTAGGAAAGTGTTTGCGACTCATTGTAGCTAGGTCAGACGACTAGGCTCTTGAGACATATCAAATCAAGACATAATTGTGATGAAGTTCTCAAGGTTCGATTCTCAAACCTTAAAAACTAGGGGACTTCTGTTATGCCTGGAAAAGAGGGCTTCGCGTCTTGTAAGCAGGGATGGTAGAGCTTGGGAAGGTTCTGCGACTGTCAGGTGCACCCACACGCATAAGGTGTAAGCAGCATGCCCCGTCAGTGCAGTGGGTGAGCAACAGTTAGCGGATGGTTAGGGAGTCGTCCATATGTCCAATCCCTACATAAGCCGAGGAATAACTCGGGCAAATTGGCAATGGGATGCAGAGAAGGATTGCACAATATCCACCCACCTGTAGATTTAGTAATCATTACCTGGTCCATCCCACTATAAATAGGAAGACCTCTTTCATTTGTGGGATTGGCTAATTCACTCTAGAATAGCTTACTACTCTTTCTCTCTCTCTCTCTCCCCCCCCCCCCCCCCCCTTGTATTCTCTAAGTGTACTCAGCTCGTTTAATGTGACCCGATCTTATCATAATACAATATCAGTGGACGTAAGAAGATCGCTCTAAGCATCCGAACCACTAAACATTGCTTCTCACCTTTTATTAACTGAACATCATATCACGTGTGACTTATAGTCGCTTAGCATTTTCACGTGCGAAAGAGTTGGTGTCAAATCAAGCATCAACCGCAATCTTTTTGTATTATCATAGGGATTCAAATTGCTCTTGCCACAAGAGATCAAATTTCTCTGACATTTCATCAGTTTACTTTTATTTTTTTCACTTTGCCGATTTATTGGGAAGAATATATATTTGAGCCTGATCTCAGTAGTGTCAATATTTTTCATGAATGTGTTGGTGAGAATACATTTTACGTTTTAGATTATGGAGAAATGGTGATGGAAACTCAAATGATTCCTTGGTAATACATCTCATCTTTTTTTTTTTTAATCAAAGCTGAAAATGGTTTAACAGTTTTGAATTAAGGCATTGAGAAAGCTTGGGACGAAACCTGCAATGCAATGGAAGGCACACCAACCATGAATTCCAAAGGGAAAGACATTTCTGGTGTATCCATGACCTTCGTGGCCCTGCAAATCCAGTAACATCAACATCCGAGTAAGCAAGAACATAGATTTTTATTACTAATATAATTAAAAAAAAAAAACCCTCAAATTATGTATTGTCCTTAGCTGTCAGGAATAGTGAAGGCTCCAGATGATCTTCATTCATGGCAAGCATCTAGAGAGGGGAAAATGGCTGGTTTTTAATGGCGTTTCAGGGCTAAATATCAGTGGCTTTGGCCTCAGATGGAAGTGGAAGAGGTGGTGGATAATTCATGCAAACTTAAACCCATAGAGGTAATAATAAATTATAAATATATGGTTAATTCTCTAGTAAGGACGTCTTGATGATTATATATTTATATAGGACGTCTGGCAGTGGTTTACTTACCTTATAAATCAAATCATGCATCTTAATTTATATTTTGAGTATTATTTGTTAATTTGCAGGCTGTACAACACTGGACCACAGTAAGTCAATGAGTGATTATTTTGTATCAAATCTTTTTTGCAGAATAGATATACGAAGCTGATGCAAGTTTTCCATTCTTTTTACAGGCAGTGGGTTTAGACATTGTAGGATGTGATATGACCGGAATTTATGTGTGTGGAGTCCTTAAACCATATACTTGAACTGATAGTGAAAATGTTAGCTTCAAATCCTTGGTGATAGATCTCCTGTAACAAGCCCAACACTGATGGAATTCACATTTCAAACTTCCGGAATGTATCTGTCCAATCCTGATTATTGGCACTGTAAAATGTTCATTTCTTAAAATTACTTTGCAATCCTCAGCATAACTTTTTTTTTTTTTTTTTTTTTTTTTTTAATGTAAAACAAGGGGATGATTGCATCTCATTGTGATTATGTTTAAAGATTAAAGTAGCTATGTAAATGTGGACCTGGTCATGTAAAGGTAAGTGCCACAAGTATAATGATATATATCTAGAATTTTGAGCAAATTTGTTTAATGCTACCTGGAGGGTAGCATTGGAGCTTCGGTAGAGATGGAAATGAAGTACAAGTAGAAAACATCATGTGAGAAATGTTTCTTCTACAAGTACCAATGGAGCCCGGTCAAGACTTGGCAAGTATGATTCTTTCACTATATATAATATTCTTGATAGCCTATTTCTTTTCATTCATGTTTAAAGTGATTATCAATAAGATAAGCTTCTGAATAATCAAGGTTAATTATCAGGAGAGCTCAAAATTATGCCGTGTTTAAAACATAAGAAGGAAATTAAACACTATATTCAAGTGATAAAGTTCGGTAAGACACATCACTTTTTGTTTATCAAAAGCAACAAATGATTCATTTGAACATAAATATGTCAAACAAATAAGCAATTTAGTGTTTACCTCATTGAAAAGATTATTTAACTCTTGAAATTACATATCTAGAACGTTGTAAAAAGATGGGTACAACTTGTGGTCCCAATGAGAGTTTCATCTTCCTAATCCTATTCTATAATTTAACCTTAAATTTTCAAAATTAAAGAATACAAATATAGAATGTATTAGTATTACGTGACAAATTGAAAAAAAATGGGTTTGTCTGCTTGATAGGTAAGGGAAAACTGCATTTGTGTGGATAAAGAATTAAAAATTTGGAAAAAAATTTGAAACCTAAGTTGTTGAATCAGTTATAGACAATAAAGAAAGATCGGTTTGGGAAGTAGAGGAAGATGAGTTTAGTTTTGACAGCCTAAGAAGAAAAAATGACAATTTAACTTATTTGATGGGGTAGAGTTATTTGTAATTTATTTTTCATTTAGGAGCAAATTTGTAAAACTAGTAAAAAAAATTTAAAACTTAAGAAGGGTCAACTGACCCTCCTTAACCCCCCATTCCTCCGTCCATGAAGGTAACTATGAGTAGAGGGTGTTTGTCTAAGCTTATAAGCAGGTCAAACTAGTTGATGAGCTCTAAAATTAAGTTGACATGTTTGTTTATAACTTTTTTAAGCTTATAAATTGAGCTTATAAAGAAAAAAAAAAAAAAGTTGGGGTGAGAGGTACTTTTTATTTTTTGCTTATAAGCAGAGTTTGACTAAGTATATTACCACATTATTCTTGTTTAATTTTAAAATTTCATAATATACCCTTGTTTAATGTAATACCATTTTTAGTCATTTTATAATAAAATGTATTTATAAGCCACATTTTACCAAACGCATCAACTACTTATCAGTTACTTATAGGTACTTTAACCAAACACGTAATTGTTTAAAATTTCAAATGCTTATAAGCTAATTTTCATAAACTTAGGCAAACACCCCTATATTGGGAGATTGACTCCATTTGATTATGGCTCAAAATTCCAAAGGAATAAGGTCACCTCTAAGTAAATGAGCAACTTTGTTAGGTTAACTTTCATATCTTTTATGATTACAATTTGCGATCTTATTACTCATAAGAGTTTCTATCTATATATATACACAATTTTTTCTCTCGAATAAATCACTTTTGAGAATTTAAAATGAATGTATAAACGGTTCTGAAATGTAAATTATGGGAATATCTAGAAGATAAGATATATGATCCTAATACAAATTATAAATTCCTTTCTTAATGTATGACATGCCTTTTGAAACAAAAATCGTAAATTGAATAAAGCCCTTCATTGTTTATAAGGTAAAAGGTAAAAACAAAAATTGGTAAAAAAATTCCTTCCTAGGAAACTGGACAAAATTTGGAATATATATAATCAATCGATTTTCTATTAAAATTTTTCCTTACTATCTCTTTCCTAAAAGTCAACATACACTCATTTTTTTCTGTATGTTTTAAAATGTTGTACGAGAGCTAAAAGAAGTATATAATCGATTTATTTTGATCTTGAATTAATTATACATTCTATAATTAGAGGTATTTTCAGCTATAAATTCATCAGATCACTACCATGAAAACTTAACTTGCCAATCCATTCTTTCAGCACCAAACTTCACTTCATTCAACATCTTTTCCATCAATATTTCATTTATTCGCTACACGAAATATGTTGGTAAGCTTCTTATTGTTCTCAAAAGGCTTCAAAGTTGCATATATTCATTTACATCAAAACTGAATGTTTCTGTTTTCAAAAAACAAAACGTTTTTGTCAGCAATTTTTCTCGTAATGAAAAATGTTTCTAGGAACCATGAGAAGGTTCAGAGTTCCGAAATTTTCGTTTATAGCATAAAATTTGATGTTATGAAAAGTAGTATAGTAAATATATGATACTGCAAAGATTATGTAGAATCATGTCCAAGCCTGAGAGTTCTCCATTGCAGAAAATTTGCACTACATTATTGGTTTTGTCCATGGCATACTGCGGATCAGGCCTTCAAAACTATGGGACAGGACCTGGTTTTAATTATGTTGTTAACGTGATGAAAATGGGGGCCGTTGGCGATGGCAGAAAAGATGATTCACAAGTAATGTGTTATTGTCTTCATCTCCTTAATTTCCTTTCCTCTGATGATTTATTTAATTCCTTAAAATATACTCATTGAATTTCTTTATGATGTAAAGGCTTTTTTGAGAGCTTGGGCGGCTGTTTGTGGAGCAAACAAAACCGCCCCACTTCTGCTTATACCAGCCGGGAGAACATTCCTTTTGAAGCCAGTAAAGTTTCAAGGTCCATGCACATCCTCTGCCATTAATTTTAAGGTAATTGAACATTTGTGAGCAAAAGTTATCAAAGTTTTTTAACGATTTAAGAGTCCGTTTGGTATAACTACTTATTTTAGTAAAGCTTTTTCTTTTACCCATCCCCTCGTGGCCGGATAACAAACCCTTTGGTCATTAGGGTTAACTATACCCAGGAGGTATTGTGTTCAAATCGCATGAGAGGTACCTACCACATTTGTGTAACTACATTGGTACATTTGGCTTGTAGGGTATTCCGTGACCCTAAGGATTAGAAAGGTTCCAATGTGAGCATAAATACCTCAATTACCTTTAAAAAAAAAAGAGTTCATTAGAATAGATCTTATGAAATTGTAGTGTTTATGAATAATTTGTTAGTTTTTCAGTTAGAAAAACGTAAAAGAGTTTTTTAGTATTAATATATATACCAAAAAGAGTTTTAATATACAATAATAAATCAAGTCAAATTTACAAAAAAATTATATAATAGGGATATTTTTAAATTTCAATACTTTAAATAAACTTAAAAAGATTATAAAATAATTTATTTAAAATCCTATAAATACTTTTGAAATTTAACTAAGCAATCCAAAAAAAATTCAAAAGTGCTTATGACTTTAAATGAGCTCTTTTGGCCACAGTAGATAAACTCATCCAAACAAGCTCAAAATTTCTGAATATTAATGCTCTTATCATGGTATCACAGATTCTCGGAAATATTATGGCACCTGATATGACAGCTTGGAAAGGTGACGATAGGCAAAACTGGCTTGTTTTCGAAAACATAAACTGGCTTAAAATTGATGGAAACGGGCAAATTGATGGACGAGGTGCAAGCTGGTGGCAGCAAGAAAGTGAACCTGAGAAAAGACCTGCTGTAAGAATAATTATTTGATATATATTTTCAATCCAATGGAGAATAGTATTATTGAATGCAATCAGTACTAAATTATTTGGTGATTTGGCTAGGCTTTGACGTTTAACAAATGCACTAACCTCCGTCTGAATCAATTGAAACACATCAACAGCCCAAGGAACCATATTACTGTTACTGGTTGCAGGAATGTAGTCATTTCTCATCTAAATATTACTGCTCCTGGTTCAAGTCCCAACACCGATGGCATCGATATCGGCCAGACCAGGAATGTTTATATCCACGATTGTAACATTGAAACTGGTATTCTCTGGTTCTATATATAGACAGTTAATTAGAATTTATTGCACTTATTTTACTTAATGTTTGTTCACTATACTGTAGGTGATGACTGTATTGCCATTGGTACTGAGTCCTTCAACTTCAAAATTAGTCATGTGACATGTGGACCAGGTCACGGCATAAGGTTCTCAATAACCTAAATGCAATATTTGCAGAAAAATCAAGTGCCTATTTAATTGTCTGTTCGCTTAATTGATAAAAGGATTTTACTATTTTTTAGTATTGGAAGTTTGGGAGCAAATGGAGCTATGGCTAGAGTTAAAAATATAAACGTCAGCGACTGTAGCTTCAAAGGGAGTACAAATGGAGCAAGGATTAAAACATGGCAGGTAATGAAGACAAATGAATAATAATTGATTGATTTATCTGGGTACGTAATTAATATTTCCCTTCTGTTCTTGGCATACTTTTCCAGGGAGGATCTGGATTTGCCAAGGAGATTTACTTTCAGAGAATTCATCTTGATGCAGTTGCCAACCCTATTATCATAGACCAATATTATTGTCCAGTTCCTGGAAACTGCCCAAATCAGGTATATGATCAGTAAAAAACAATGTCAAAGTCGGAATAGTTGATTCTTATATTTTGTTTCGTATAATTGGCAGACATCAGCTGTTAAAGTGAGCGATGTTTTCTACAATAATTTCGAAGGGACTTCAAGCTCGGAGAAAGCAATTATATTGAATTGCAGCCAGAGTATTGGTTGTGACAATCTTAGACTTACAGACATTTTCATAAAAAGTTCTGTTCAGGGGGCAGGCTGCCAATCCTCATGCCTCAATGCTCAAGCAACAGTTAGTAATTCAGTTCCTGCCGTAAAGTGTTTAAAACGTAAATAGATTGAATGCTATATATATTATCAGATCAGTTTTTGTCCTCAAAGACTTAGCAATAATGATGTAAATCTTTAAACCTCTCCAATGTTTTGGATTTTATGAATAAATTGTTGACTTCATGTGTGACATGAATATATTGACTGGTTGTATGGATGACAGCGGAAACCATATCTGTTGAACGCTAAACTTTTCCTAGATTATCTGATAAAATATCCAGATTGATTTGGCTGCAGGCCAGCTAATTATAGGCAACTTTGTAAAGACCAAATTTGACGCAAAATTTATACAGGTGCCTAAAATAAGAATCAACACATTGTAAGACCCGGTCTTTGCCACAATAACTCCTTTCCTCTTCCTCTCTTTTGTTTGAGAATACCATTTCTGCATTGTCAATTGTGGATTCTCCTCCGCGCACGGGGCCAGCTGTAGTCATGGGGTATAGGACAGGTCCCGAGCCGTGGTGCACGTGGCTCATGCCGATGGTTTTTTTGTCTTGCATTGCTATGTTTATTTACACCATGTACGTCAACAATTGCCCTGATAATATTTGGGTGGACAAATGTGTTCTGGAGAAACAGTTAGGGAGGTTTTCATTTGAACCCACAAATGAAAATCCACTCTTTGGCCCTTCTGTCGCAACGTAAGAATTAATGTGCCTGTCTTTCTCACCGAAAATTTTCAGTTTCATTAATTTATGTTGAAATTCGAGACCAAAAATAGCTTTCTCTTCTCTTCTGCTAATCGTCTCCAGGCTCAGAAAGGTCGGTGGACTAGACCGAAAACTAGTGGAGTGTTGTAATTCCAGTATCGCTAATCCTAATCAACTTCCAACACAATCAATCAAAGAACGTGAAAAGAAACAGATCAACACACTGTATTTACCGTGGTTCACTTGTTCAAAGTTGAACAAGCTATGTCTACGTTGAGCTCCAGAATATGAATGCTCATTGCACTAATATTAGTATCATCAACAATTACAATACACCAACCGATCTCCCCTTACAACATTCACTATCAAGAACTGTTAGACTTTTTACATTATGGTCCTACACTTTTAATATAATTTCATTAAGGTCCTACACTTTTACTTTTATACTGATGTGGACTGATGTGGATTTTAATGTAAAAGTGTAAAAGTCGTGTCTCTTCTCTTGAGCAATTGTCTTTGATGGAAAGACAACTGCATATAAAGGAGACTTTACAGGTCCCCATTAGACGCAATTTTAATTTTTGATTCCCAAAAACCATCACCCAAAATTGCAGTCAGTGGAAGATCCTGTAATTATAAAGGAGCAAGAAGATCAAAGAACAATTGCTATGGCTGAGGTTGTCATTACTTCCGCATATATTCCATGGAGATTTTTTATAGAATTGATTGTATTATCATATATTAGAATATGATGTGTTTTACATTTGGTATCAGAGCTTTATTTGAATCTCTGCCTAGCGAAGTTGTTTGTTGCAAATGTGAAAAAATATGGCATAAAATTAGGATTTTTCCATTAAAACACGTACTGTAAATCAAGCATAACTTTATTATAAATAGAATTTCGATTTTGATGTCATTGGAATCCTTGTTGAAAAAAGCTTTCCAACGGTATATTATTTGTCAAAAACGGAGTTCTGGATGCAAAGTTATGCTAGTTAAGTTTTGGTTAGTAATTTTGTTTGGGTGTTTTCGGAAGCCATTTATGGCATCGATTTAGGACGAAATTGTCATTTGGATGTCACTGATTATGTATATATCCACATTCAAGTTTCCCATCGAAAAGCCGAAAAATGGCTGAACGGGCTGTTGAAATCTGGAAAAATAGGGTAAAATTTGCGAAAACGGATCAAGAAGAACCGACCCATAGGATAACGGGTCAATCTGACCCGGTCAAAAGTCAAAACGGTCAAACGACCCGGTCAACCAACCCAAAACCCTTAGACACCCGCCCGGTCAACAGTCCAGACCGGTCAATGACTGGTCAACGGTTCAAACCAACCGGTCCCGGTCCAGATCGGTCACCGAACCGTCCAATAGGACAAACCGGGTCAACCGACCGGTCAAACGGGTCAAACCGACATGTCACGACCCCGCGTGCGACATGCAAGCGCGTAAAGCGTTTGTGCTTGCGTCAGGCGCGTGTGGTGTGTGTTTGGCACGTGTAAGCGCGTGTAGCGCGTGAAGGACCGTGGAGGCGCGTGGAGCGTGTGAGAGTGTGTGCTGCCTTCTGGTGGCACGTGAGATGTGCGTCCTTGTTCACGGTGGCGCGTGGAAGTCGTTGAGCTTGTATGATGTGTTTTATGTTATATATTCTTTGTTATGCATAAAAAGTATTATTCTTGTATTGATTTGTGTTACATTATACAATTCTTGATAATTATTTGATGTTTATGATCGTATATTTTTGATTAATTTAGAGTAGCCGCACATCTAAATTATGATAATATATGCATTAAGAATATTATTTGTGTCTCATATTAAGGTTAAAAACATCGTTTGTAGTTAATCATATTAGTATATCTTTTACCCACAGGGAATGTTGTATTTTTATGATTAATTAGGAATGAAATAGAAATTATTCTTATTTCTTAATTAGCCCACGGTATTATGAATATTAATAATTTCTAGTTTCATCATTAAAGGATAATGAATCATAATATGTAATGTCTTTACCCACAGGGAGATTTTATGATATTCGATTCATTTATATTTATTATTGTTTTACATTGTTAAACTTATAATTGTTATTGATGGTTTGTGCCTCTAATTTATTTAGTAGACATTGTCATTATTACCTACAGTTGTACAAACTTTGATGATGGTTGAGGATAAGGTTCCTAATTTAAATGGTGATAACTACAAATCCTGGAGAGAAGCTTGTCCTCCTTCATTTAGGTGCTAGATCTTGACTATGCTCTTCGTAGGAAGAGCCACTAACACCTACAGATACTAGCTCTAAAGCTGAGATTGCTTTGTATGAATGGTGGGAGCGATCCAATCATTTAAGCATGATGTTTATCAAATCTCACATTACAACTAGTATCCGTGGGTCGATACCGGAGTGTGAAAATGTCAAGGATCTGATGGATGCAATTCATGCACAGTTTGAAACATAGATAGGCTTTAGGTAACATCCTAATGAGTAGATTACATCCATGAAGTTGACTGTTATTAAGGAGTCCGTGAGCATATTATGAAAATGAGGGACATAGCTGCTCAGTTGAAATCCCTCAGATGGTGATTAATGATGACTTCCTGGTGCATTATGTCCTGAACTCTTCTCTCTCATTATACTCCTTTCAAGATATCTTATAACCCACCAGAAGTAAATGGTCAATCAATGAGCTTTGACCATGTGTGTTCAGGAGGAGAGAGACTGCTTCAGGAGTGAATGAAACTGCACATCTGGTGACAGAAATGTCAAGTACACTTCAACAGAATAAGAAGTGGAAGGGAAAAGGCAAGCGCATGAGGTTATGGCACAAGGTAATAAGGACAATATCAGTGTTTCTTCTGTAAAAAGACGGGACACATGAAGAAGGATTGTCCTAAGAGGAAGGCCTAGCTTGACAAGAAAGGTAACCTCTCATCTCTTGTGTGTTATGAATCTAATATGATTTGTGTTTCACATAATGATTGGTGGATTGATTTTGGTTCTACAATCCATGTTTCTAATACCATACAGGGTTTTTTAGATCAAGAAGCCATTAGGAAGTGAATGCAGCTCTATTTAGGAACAAGATGCCTTCACGTGTTGAAGCTGTTGGAACCTTTAGACTTATTTTAAGTACTAACTATGTTTTGGATTTGGAACGAACCTTTTATATCCTATGTTTTTCTAGGAATTTAATTTCAGTTTCTAAACTTGTACCTTGTGGATACTCTTTCAACTTTTATGGTAGTTCTTTTAATTTAATTAAGAACTCATCTATTGTTGGAAATGGTACTTTGGTTGATGGTTTTTTAAAATTCATTTAAGTGATACTGTTCCTTATAGTCTTATGACTTCACATGCTACACGGTATGAACGTACTATTATGTATGAAACTCTTCCTTTTTGTGGCATAGAGATTAGGACACATCTCCATTGATAGGATTAAAAGGTTGGTAAATGCTGGGTTCTTGAAACTCTTGACTTTACTGACTTTGATACTTGTGTAGACTGCATTAAGGGAAAGCAGACTAACAAATCCAAGAAGGGTGCCAGGAAGAGTTCTGAACTTTTAGAAATCATACACACAGATATTGTTGCCCTGACATGAGCTCTATGGTCAGAATATTTTATCACCTTTATTGATGATTACTCAGATATATGTATCTCTATATGCTTTATCACAAGGATGAAGCGTTGGATGCTTTCAAAATATATAAGCAGAAGTAGAGAAACAATGTGGAAAACAAATTAAGATCGTGAGTCTGATAGAGGTGTGAATATTATGGTAGATCACTGGTATAGGACACACTTGGTCTATTTGCTAAATTTCTTCAAGACAGGTATTGTGGCTCAGTACACCTTGCCTAGCACACCATCTCAGAATGGTTGTAGCAAACGGAGAAATAGAACTTAATGATATGGTACGGAGTATGCTAAGTAACTCCAAACTTCCTCATTCTTTGTGGATTGAAGCTCTCAAAACTGCAAGCGTATATATTAAACCGTTTCCAACTAAGGCGGTTCCCAAAACCCATTCGAATTATGGAAATTTGGAAACCAAGTTTAAGTCATTTCAGCATCTGGGGTTGCCCAGTTGAGGTTAGAGTTTATAATCCACAAGAACGGAAGTTAATCCTAGGACTATTATTGCATATTTTATTGGATATGCAGAAAAATCCAAGGGATATAAGTTTTATTGTCCTAACCATTCCGTAAATTGTTGAATCGAGAAATGCAAATTTCTTGAAAATGATGTGGTCATTGGGAGATCAAATCAGAGACTCAGTCTCTGAGAAATTGATGTTTCAGACAATGCTCCTCATCAAGTAAAAGATTGGTTGTTCATCCAAACAGGGTGAA